TGAATAGTTCAAATAGATATCGAAACTAGTTAAAGATGCGGCTAACTCGCATTTTTTAAAAAAATTTAATTATTTTATTAACATTTATTATTTTTGTGATGCTAATTTCTCAATGTAATTTGCATTATTTTATTAAAAAATTTATATGGGATATGATATCAAAAAAATTCGAAATTTTACATCCTAAAAACTCATATTCCATATTAATTTTCGAATGCAAAATTACATGGGGTATGATTTTTTTTTTTATGTAAATTTTCGATTGTAAAATTTCTTCAAACTTTTTTACAAGTTCGATTATACCCCCTAACTATAATTGTCTGTGTCCGCCCCTGGATGTATGACTAGATTGAGATCATCAACCGCCCTTTTAATTGTAATTTCTATTGTCACATTGATGATTGCTGATTTATCTTTGTTGGTAGCATAATGCTAGATACATCTTTGTTTACATTTGATGTGGTGCTGAAAGAGGATTGGAAGAAAAATTGTTTATTTTTTTAAACTATCAATGATGTATTGTCACGTGGCACAATACAAAAGATGACGTAGAAAATGATGCACCTGTAACATGATTGTTGTTTGTAAGCCACTTAGATTTGTATCTCACCTGTGACCAAAGTTGTCACTTGTTCTTGTTTTTTAATGAAGAAGAATTCTCTACTCAATCTTAAATTTATTCAACGCAAATATATATATTTATAGTTTAATTTTGGATGTGATTTGACATAATGTGCTCCAAATATAAAATCCAAGTGATGTATATTTTGCTTTATGCTGTAGGCCCCCAATGTTCCAACCGGTTTGATAAAGCTTCAATACAGGAAATTTTTTTAATCCCATTGTCTTTTCAAGTATCGTTTGGAAGATAATCTATTTCTAATGTAGATACATGTCGACAGCGACCAATTAATTTCTATTGCACTTAATTTCATTCTCTAGCATTCAATTAATTTTACTTAAGTATATATTGTTCAAGTCTCCTTCATGTTTCATCTTCAATTTATAATACCAACTCATACTTGTTCTTTATTACAAAATTGAAGTTCGAAAAATTTTATTTGATTTGGAGTATAAAGGGAGGAAGACTATACGTCGCTCTGCTAACCCGTAAGCCATTTTTTCTCAAGCACGTTTCATAGTATACAACAAGAAATGGTTTCTCAACCTCTTCTCTACTACTATACTAGCTACTCGAGTTCTCTACATTCCATCTTGAGCATAATTGTGAGAAGTTGAGGGTGTTTGGTGGGGATCAAAATTAAAATTATAAGTTTGACAGACAAGAACTATTAGATAATAAGAGGGTGTTTGGTGGGAATTAAAATTAGATTTTTAGTGGATTGTGATAGAAGCTTTTGAAATGTGTGGTTGAAACTCATGAAAGATATTGATTGTTTGATTTTGATTTTGATTAAAATCAAATTTTAATCCGACTCAAACAGGCCCTTAATATGAAAAATAATTCTGCAAATTAGTTAAAACTCACCAAATGATTTTGATATGCCACCTTAGAGTTTTAAGCTTCAAAATTTAGTCCTTGTTTAGCCTCCACTTTAATTAGACTTTGGAAAAAATATATTTTAGAACAGTAATTTTTTAAAAAACGTATGATTAAGATTAAAAAAGAATGAAAAATTTTAAATTTATATTTAACATTATTTTATTGGTGTGGTTGATAAGGAAATATTAAAAAAATTCATAATTTTAATAGAGCTCAAACAGAAGCTTAGTTCAAAAGAAAAATATAACATGTGTGAGGCTTGAATAAAAATTGTGATTTCAATAAAATATGTGATTAAAAATGAATTTTATAATAAATGAGTTCTAAGAAATGGGGTCGAACAGGGACATAGTCTAAAAAAATATGTAAAGTATTTAAAATAATACTAATAATAATAATAAACTAGTTATGATTCAGATTTTGTCTCCATGACCAAATTTATTATATAATATATATCGATCCATTTATTACACATTATTTGTAATTGACAACATTAAAGAGAGTTGCATAGCTTTGTAATTCAATCTATGACCAACAAATATGCAACAACATGACTCCAACCCTTGAAATTTTTAGATGGGATCACAAGTCCTGCAAGGCCGCAGTAAAGAAACGAAATCAGCAAATATATATTAAACCACCACCACATTTTTGATAGGCTGTAATGGATAGGACTCTTTAAGTATGACAAAGAAGCTTTTTGAATAATACACAATACTGAACGGTCTATCTTATCAAACGAGCTACAAAGTATGTACATCAAACGGAATATCAAGAAGCAACGACCGTAATAAATGTTCTTGGTTTTGTTCAGTTTGTTGCCTACTTCAAAACATAAAACTCCTCTTTTTACATAGAGAATATTTTTTAGGACATACATTAACTTACTGTGTAAATGTGCAGTGCAAGTGAGATAGTAAACTTTATTTCTACTATTTTAGTTAATATGTTCTAAAGGTTAATTTGGCCTATAGGCTAACAAACATTCAATTCAACTATGGTCACCATGTCATCAATCCCTCGTTTCCGAATGCATTATAGCATTATCCCTAAAATGCGGATTTGTGAGAACCAGAACTCGTTGTATATGGAGGTAATCCCGGTACAAGTAGATGCATTATGAATAAACTATAAGACTTTTTATTATATTTTAGCATACACTTCGCTACAAAAGTCGTGCATATTTTGATCTACATGCGAAGGAGTTTGGTACTAAATACTTTGTCAATTCTGTATTTCGACAAAAGCTATATTATTTTTCTTTGCCATAAATTAATGATAATGACTAGCATTATACAAACAAAAAGATATAGAACAGGGAAACAAGGCAGGCAGCATACCTGGGTTCTCAAGAAGATCCCAAAAGCTTTTTTATGTCTTCCTGCAAAAGAAAGAGAAATGGAAGAAGTAAAATAATCAAACATATTATGGTTCCTAATTTCTTTTCCATGTTGTAAATGGCCTGGCCCAGATCCAGCAAGGCCATGTCAGCCAGGCTCTCCAGACCCACAACTGGATCTTTATCTTTTCTCTCAGAAACAAAAAATTAAAACATTGTTGGGCCCGGCCTAAGGGCAGCCCTCGGTGGGCCACCTCAAAGGTGCCTCAGTGCCTGGCACAAGCCGCTTTACACCTCTAGACAAATTGCAACAAGAAAGGAAAGAACTAAATGAAAGAATTGAAAATAATGTCCTACCTCGATTTGTAGAGGTGACGTCCTAGGAGCGTATCTCTCCACAACTTTTCCTTCTCTGTTAACGAGAAACTTTGTAAAATTCCATTTGATGGCATCTACAAATAATCCACCTTTTTCCGACTTTAAGAACTTGTAGAGGGGTGCAGCATTCTTTCCATTGACCTCAATCTACAATATCGTGGAAGTTATTTTGACAAAAGATTCATCGAGTGTATTCCTTGAATGAATAGTATATAGCAATATCAGAAGCAGCGTAAACGGGGAAAACATAGAGAATGTTTGGCTGAGCATGGTAAGTAAATCAAACTTTCTTTAAAGTAAAAAAAAATTCAATGCATGTTTGAAAAATTACTTTTTTCTCACTATACGTCTTCAAATAGCTACTGGCATAAATGCCGACAACGCCAAAGTTGCAAGCATTTACTGTAATGTAACCAATTTCAAAGTTTCGTAAAAAGAAATACCTTGTCAAATATTGGGAATTCTGCCTTAAATCTAGTGCATGCAGTTTCCTGAATTTCCTCATTAGTTCCTGGTTCTTGCCAAGCAAACTGATTACAAGGAAATGCTAGAATTTCAAAACCTGAGAAAGAATTCAGCATTGGTTTGATGACCTCAGAAAGTCACTAAGAGAAGATAACAAGGAAATAGCCTTAAGAATGTCACACGAGAATGGTTAACAAACCTTGGTCCCTGTACTTCTCGTACAAAATGTTCAATTCTTTGTAATTTGACTGCGTCAAACCACTGTAAAGAGGGAGATACAGAGCACGCGTTAAGGCTCAGCAGATTTAAATTACAATTTTTTAGCTTAAACAAGATGGTGAATAGGCATAGAGAAGGAGAAAAGCACTCGGGGAAACTTGAAATTAAATTAACCAAACAAAACTTACTTAAAAGTAACCATTCCGAAAAATTGCGATGAGACAAACCTTTCTAAAAAAGTTACTTTTAAGCTTTGACAAACAGCCAAACATGTTGCAATTCACCTACCATTTAGAAGCCACGTTCACTACGAGAAGAACCTTCCCCTGGTAAGAGCTCAGCGGCACGTCATCTCCATGAATATCCTGTAATTTAATTTATTTGGTAAGCAGCACAGGCACGCAAAGATAGTTTTCTTAAACAGGGAAGAGACAACAGAAATAATATGATTTGTGGAGTTTGGATATATCAAAAATGTAAGTGTAATAAACAAACAGATAAGCACATTAAACAAATCTACACGAAAAATAAGTAAATAATGATGATGACACACAAACAAATGAAGTAACAATTTTTTTTGAAAAATAAAGGCCATTAAAATGAATGATCAACCAAATTTATTTTAGCAACGACCACATTCATGTCCAGAGTTTAAAAGCAAAATGGCTCTTACATACAGGAAGGTTTCAATTTATTGATTACTGTTTATCACTTATGTGCTAATTGGAAAAAAAATCGATACTCGAAAAAAATTTAGACCATCAGAAAAAAAATAATAACAAAGCGGAGAATATTATGATTTTTTTATGTTTAAAAGAGTAATGTATTTACTCTAAGACATTGTTTATGACCCAGAAATTGGGTATTGATGCTACTACTAAAAAGATCATACCTGATTAAAATAAAAAAAGATCATAATATTGGGAAATCTTGATATTCCTAAGTGATATTGGGTAGATCACCTTTTCAATTTCCATTTTTTAAAAATTAATATGTAGAGATTAAAATCCCTGCCTGCCCCTCCGGGCTATGTCAGGCCTATGGACCAGCCCACATTGGCCTATTATAGTAAAAGATCAAACAATAATAAATACTATGCATTATGTAAATTTATTCCCAAAACGGTGGGGTATGTCACAGCCCAATTTGCACCTTAGAAATCATTGTTCAACTCTTTGACAACATGAAAAAACCAAAAGCTTTGCCTTCTGTCTCTATCCATACAAGGAATGGAAGGGCAGAGGCCTTTGGTGTCCCCTCCCATCAAGAATCGACAGGGGTGGAGCCAGCCTTTCAAACTATGGGGGCCCCGGAGTTGAAGGGGCGAGGGCTCAAGGGGGATTAAAAAAAAAAATTTGAGGCCATCACAATCACTAGCCAATAGACTTTTGTCTCGTGCCTTTCTTCGTTTATCATTCGATATTCTAGCGTCCTATGCATAGAGGAATGACACAATCCATTGCGAACTTGCTAGTTAAACTCTACTGCAGTGATGATAATACAGGGGAGGTCCTGCAGAAAAATAGCTCTGCGCCAGGATGATACACAACATTTTTTTGGGCGAAAGCTCTTGCTTGCACAAAAATTTATTGTCTTGTCAATAAAAACTTATAAAAATCACTTATTTTCAACTTTCACCAACTAACACTTATTTATTCCTTAAATTAGAAATTTTAGGCTAAGCCAAATATCCTCCTAGCATTCAATAGAAAATCAAAGATTAAAACATCAAGAAACTAGTCTATATACCCAGCGTAGATCTCCACGATCATCAAATTTTCAAACCCATAAATACAATATAAAACCACGATCAAAAGCAGAACCAAAAAAATAAAAAAGTCTTGGATTGAATTTAGTTACATACATACCTTGACAGTGAAATCGTAAATGGATTTTGGGGATTGTTCTTGTTCAGCCATAGTATCAGCAATTTGATATCTGTAATAGAACAATTCCTAAAAAGATGAGAGATGCCCAGTTTATAAAACTCGAGAAATTCTTTCTTTTTAAATATATTCAGCCCGGGTATATAAATTCAATGCTTTGCTGGAGAAACGGGACAAGCGTGATGTGATGTTTCATAATTCTTTCTTTCATCTGCCAGCGCCATTGGCAGTTGAAATAAATACCTATATTACACATTGATTGGAGTAAAATATTTTTTGACATGTTTCTAGAAGGAAGCACGAGGCGTGTCTAACGGACTCACTCTATTCGGCTCAATACATTAGTCGTCCTATGTGACATATACATGACATATAGTTATTTGATACATTAATATGATAATTTTTTTACCACATTAATGCATTAAATACACGCTTGACATGTGTGTGCCATGTAAGACGACTGCAAATAGCATTATTCATTATATTATCATGTGTTTGATCTACATTATCTGACGACTCATTTTTTTCCTACTTTTTAATTACTCATTCTCAGATAATCCACTATTAACAAACTCATTTTCATCGAAAAATAGGGTTCAAACATAAGCTTAATAGAATATAGACGGCTTTCTTGAATTTTTGGTCCCTAGCGTATTCACTTTTTGTGTATTTTAAGACCCATCTTTGAATTTTGACAAAAGCATCTCCATATCATCATTTTCCGCGCACAGCCGTTGAATGGTGCCTTGTACGGTTCTAAAAGTATTTTTAAGGCATTCTTTATTTCAATAAAGATCCGAGTACAGAAAATTTTTGACAGAATTGATACCGATCCTAACTTGACCAAATCTAAATGGCCTTTTTTCCCCATTTTCCAATGATATCATGCCAAGCGTTATCCGTCAAAATTTCCTGTCAAAATTTTTTATATCCATAGCATGATTGTCTTTATTTATATAGAGTGTCTTGTATATCATAGAGAGTATCTTTAAATTTAGAGAGTTGGAATTTTTATATACTCCAACAACATTTTCTATTTTGACTCTTCATTTTACTTTTTTCAAGGAACATTTATTAATTTCTCGTCATATTTTATTTAACATAAATTTTTATATGCGTCGATCAATTTAAATGAGGTTTGAAAGTTTAAGAAGAGTGTGAAATTACGTGACTTACTAAATGCAATCATTGTAAATTAAAAATAAATAATGAGTTTGATTCTCTAAATTTGAAGGTCTAAACACGCTCTTTGTTTTAAAAAGTTAGAATAGAGTCTTATTTATGTAAATCATCTTATATATTATACAGAGTATCTTTAAATTTAGAAAATCGAAATTTTTGTATACTCCAACAACATTTTCTATTTTGACTCTTCATTTTACCTTTTTCAAGGAACATTTATTAATTTCTCCTCATATTTTATTTAACATAATTTTTTATATGTCAATTGTCAATCAATTTAAATGAGGTTTGAAAGTTTAAGAAGAGTGCGAGATTTTGTGACTTAACTAAATCCAAACCCCTTTTTATTATTAAATGCATTCAAAATATGTCAATTTTCTATACAGAAAAACAAAATAATAATTTAGAAGAAAGTTGCTAAAAATAAAAATCTAGGGAAAAGTAATAAATATTGGAAGTAGTAAAATTAAGTGTTAAATATAAAGAATCTATTCAAGTACTTAAAAAAATTTACTCTCTAAATTCATAGATACTCTCTAAATTGTAGAATATGATATTTGAAAGTAGGGAGTCTCTTGAAAATAATCTAAACCTTATAAAACAAGTTATTGTGTACCCACGTAGGGGCGGAGGCAGGGACCCGGAAGGTACCCCTCAATTTTTTGACAATTTTTTTTAATTTTAAAATTTTATTTTTTGTATTTACCATTTTTTCCTCAAATGAATAAAAAAACTTACCCTAGCAATCCAAAAACTTCTCGAAAGGAACGCATGTAATAATGTATGATTTTGCTAAATTAAAGATTAATACTTTATTTTATAAGTTTCTTGATTTTTTTTGTTAATAATGAACATTAATTTATGTTCATTTGTTTCCTTTCTCCATCACAGAGTACCAACTTCCCTCATTTTAACAGATAATGTTTCAAAAAAAAAATTCGGGGGCAGCCCCCCTACTTCGACGGGCTGGCTCCGTCCCTGTCTGCAGGTCTACCGTAATATTGTACATATGTAGGAGGCGTCAGCCTGTTGATATATGCATATTCAGTCACATAGGGTGATGGATTGAAGGCATTGTAACTGTGATGAGTCGAGTATGTGGGTTGAGGTGGCTCGACNCTATTTCGACAAACTAGCTCTGCCCCTGTCCCCACGGGCAAAGCAAGAAAAATGCATGGGTTGAAATTTAAAAAATAAAAAATCAATGAACATGCCTAAAAGATGTCAACCTTATGATATCATACTAGATTTTTGTAACTTTCCTCGTCAAATGGTTGCACTCCCTATAAATATAAAATGATAGAAGTGTGATGGACATGAATAAATGATATATATCTATCAATTAAAAACTAAGAAAATACCTAGTTAGTACACTTATTAGACACAAGTCATAAAGAACTTTCACAACTAGTAATTTCAAACAATTGAAAATTTTGTCCAAAATATACAATAAAAATACAAGATTTTACGTCATCGGTCTTAAAATACTATTTTATATGGACATCAGTTTCCTATACCAACACATTCTAATACCACCTTAAGCGAAAAAATTGACATGGAATATCGAGAGTTCAAAGAAACTGAATTAATTTTACATTCATATTTGGCTCTTCAATAATTTCTGAGTAAATAAGTTTTGAACATGCATGTTTTTCACCGATAAAATTAAATGTATATCAAGTTACTTATTTTGATAATAATATCTATTTTATGGTCAAACTAAGTAAACTTTTACTTATAAATATGAATAAGTAATATATGAAAATACACATAAAAACAAATATTTAATTACTTTTAAACTTAATCAAACATATAATATTTGTTACTGTAAATGTGTCGTTTATTTTCAACTTTAATCGATAAAAGTTATTTATTCTAAAATTATAATCTACTTACTGAATTATAAGTGAACTTCTTAAATTAATTCAAAACATGCATGAAATAATTTACTTATTTACGTATTATCGTTGCATGAATGAGAATGAAACGAATATGTAATTTTCTCTTATTCTGAAGTCTTAACTAAAGTTGAAAAATTAGACATTGACTTGGGCTGGAATTTAGCTTGCTGGGCTAAAATGGTTAATTGGGCTTTATTTAATCATAATCTCTTTTCTTTTTTTCACAATTATTTTCCTATCTAGGATGCCCCCCCACTTATATCTGCCTTTGTGTGTCCCAAACCTTTATTTTTTTTCATCTAAAGTCTCAAAATCTTTAAATTAATATGTAGCACTGAGTTCCTTGTACGATTTTCACCAAAAAAACTCGTTAATATATCAAAAAGTCACTCATTGACCAATCTAAAGAAAGGCGGATGGGTTTTTGCATATTTTGTCATTTAAAACCATTAAAATGTTTCAAAAAGAAGAAATAAAAATTGATTTAAAAA